GCCCGCCTCCACGCCAACCTGCTGGAGATGGAGTTCGGGGCCGACGTGGGGCAGAACGAGGGGAACACCCTGAGCTGCTTCGAGCGCGCCCTGCGCAGCCCCCTCCCCGACGACGCCAAGCTGCTCTTCTCCCAGCGCAGGGTCGAGTTCCTCGAGGACTTCGGCTCCAGCATCCACAGGTTTGGGGGGGAAACGCCCGAAAAATGGGGGGAAAAACGCCAAAAATGGGGTTAAACAACAAAAAAAATGGGGTTAAACAACCCAAAACCACCAAAAACAGGGTTAAAACCACAAAAACCACCAAAAATGGGGTTAAGAACACCAATAATGGGGTTAAAAACGCCAAAAATGGGGTTAAAAACATAAAAACCACCAAAAATGGGGTTAAAAACACACAAAAAAGGGGTTAAAAACACCCAGCGCTGCCTCGAGTTCCTCGAGGACTTCGGCTCCAGCATCCACTGGTGGGGGGGGGAAACGCCCGAAAAATGGGGGTAAAAACGCCAAAAATGGGGTTAAAAACAAAAAAAATGGGGTTAAAAACGCAAAAAATGGGGTTAAAAACACCAAAAATGGGGTTAAAAACACAAAAAATGGGGTTAAAAACACAAAAACCACCCAAAATGGGGTTAAAAACACCCAGCACTGCCTCGAGTTCCTCGAGGACTTCGGCTCCAGCATCCACAGGTGGGGTGGGAAACGCCCAAAAAATGGGGGTAAAAACGCCAAAAATGGGGTTAAACAACCCCAAACCACCAAAAATGGGGTTAAAAACACCAATAATGGGGTTAAAAACCACCAAAAACTGGGGAAACGCTCCAGAAATGGGGTTAAACACACCAGAAATGGGGTTAAAAACACACAAAAAAGGGTTAAACACACCAGAAATGGGGTTAAAAACACCAGAAACGGGGTTAAAAACACCAGAAATGGGGTTAAAAACACCAGAAATGGGGTTAAGAACACAAAAAAAGGACGTCAAAGACACAGAAAATGGGATTAAAACCCCCCAAAAAACAGGGTTAGAACCCCAAAAATGGGGGGAAACCCCCCCAAAAAGGGGTCAAAGATGCCCCAAGCAGAGGGGAACCCCCCCAGGAGGGGCAGGGGGGGCTCAGCCCTGCCCCCTCCCCTCCCCTCCCCCCCAGCCTGCTCAAGGCCTACGATGAGCACCAGAAGATCCTCAAAGCCCACGCGGCGCGGAAGAGACCCCCCGAGAACGGGTGAGACCCCCGGGACCCCCCTGGGACCCCCCCTGGGACCCTCCAATCCCAAACCCCCCCTTTGGTCCCTCCTGTCCCCTCTTTGGTCCCAAAATCCCCCCCTTTTGGTCCCAAAATCCCCCCCTTTTGGTCCCT